GGTTGTTCTCATTACATGATTGCCTCGTAAGAAGTTAAAATGTCTTTTCCAGCGTAGAACACAGCGCTATCTGTTCTTGTTCTGCTCTATATCTTTAGTCTCTCCATTTTTGCCACTAGAAATTGTTATTTATGCAAAGTGTGCACATCAGCCTGCCTGCATTAAATCATGTGTTTCTGTCCCTGCATAATGTGTGGACTGACAGGTGATTTGGTAAAGCCTTGACCAATTGTTGACCCCTCTTCCTCAGCCTCTTTACACAGGGGCATTCTGTGCCGGGTCTGCAAAGACTCTTGTTCCTGTCTGTGGGACTGTATATCAGAAAACCAAGGAATACACATAGCAAATTGAGGGTTTCAGTTAGCCAAAATTCAAAATCTCTGAAAGACAACTTTAACTTGGGCATGACCACAGTTAACCTCTAGGACAAAGTAATGCAGCTCTTTGTAATTGGATCTATAAAGCTGAGGTCCAAAGCAAAAACTGAGCTACAATGAACACAGAGTTCCCTAAGATGACTCAGACAAAGAAATCTGAAAACAAATCGACTCGCTCTAAACTCGCTCCTCTCCCTGCTTCACGCTTTTCCCGTCCCTGCTAGAACCTGGAGTGTCTTTGCAGTCCCCAGAGTCATAGTCCTGGTCGGAGCCTGCTGTAAATCACTTGGACTCATGTGATTTGAACCTGTGTTGGGTCCCAAACATGCTCCCTGGGGGGCTGCTGAGCCAGGCTCCATCGCCCACTTGCCAGACACTGCTATGGTACTGTGCTGGTTGTAACACTGCAAGCAAGGGAAACCTTTTAAATGTATGCAAAGCACAGGTGGTCATAACCATAAAACCAACACAATATATATTCACTTTATGGTGCGTTTACATAGGAAACTAGATAGTGTCACTTTTAAAAGCTGTATACAAACTGCTTTGCTTGCTTCATAATTATGGACACTCACTCACACACCTATACATACACATACCCTTTACACCCTTTCCTCCCTGTCTTCGTGGCAGTATATATCTGGGAGCCTTTCTCATTCTCTTCCCCTCTTCATGGAGTGGAGTATGGCTGTACTAAACCATCTCTGTCTATTTCCCCCTCACTCCGTCCTCTCTGTTTTCATTACATTACAGTATGACAGATAGACCCCCACCCATTACATTAGAATAGGCAGAGAGAACAGGATCCAAGATAAAGCATCTGCTGCAGTGATGTCAGAGGACAGTTATGAAGAAGATTATGAGGCTTATCGTCTGAACTTTCTGCCTCCATTTTGCTCTCCTAACCTCTGACATCCTAACTGTACAATCCCCATGTCTCTCTTTCTCACTGCCCTCTGTGCATTTTTCCGCATTTGTTGTCGGTTTCCTTTTTCACATATTGAGTATGACTTAAATTGTCCCCCCACTGCCCTGCCTTCACTAGTTCAACGGAAGCAGTGCTCAAATTATAAATATGGCGATAATCAGATTTTTATTTATTAACTTTAAATTGATTGGCTGTGTGCTTCTTCAGTTGCTGCCGTGACTTTATGGAAGCTGGTTCACCCCTTATCTAGACTGTATTTCAAGATAGACAGCTCTTCATCTGAACAACTAAATGTGGTGAGGAGGGACTAATAATATACTGTACTGTATTTAGCTCCATTTTTTAAGTATTGAAGTTTTTGCCACTTTAGTTTACCTGATTCTTATCTCACCTTTCCCTGCTCCAACTTATCATCTTTGTGCTTTGATCTCTTTGTTCTCTTTTAGTTGTTAGGATCATTACCTCACCTTAATATTCTCTTTTATCTTATTAAAGACAGAAGTGAAATATACAAACATAACTGCACTTTTACAAAAGAAAATCATTAATTTAAGACTTCCCCTCTTCCATTAGACTCATGCTGTGCTGCGATGCATGTAATTAATTTAGCTTCTTAGAATTTTCCACCACTCACTTGGTTGGTAAATGTATTCTTTGAATAAACTTGCAGGTCAACCTGTTGTCAGCAGGTTTACCCCCCCACTGTGCCTATAGTTAAAGTCTCACCATGCTCTTTTAGCCTTCATCTTCTTAACCTGATCCCCTTGCTTGCTAATAATAGCCCTGGCTTTAACAGAACAGACGGAAACAGAGCAGAAAGGGAGAATTGGGGGACTGTTGGCTGGATTCACATTGGATTTTGTACAGTGTGCAGTTCAGTGGCTCCTAGGACTCTTTTCAGCTCATTGATTTATAGTAGTAACTCTGCTAGGGTAACCTTTAATTTTCCGTCTTTATTTTTAGCTTGTTTGTGCAAGTTTATTTTTTTATACTGCAAAGTTTGCTCATCCTTTGGCTGTCCTAGATTTTGGGAGTAACAGTTAAATGTGTATATGTTGGAGAAAGAAATAATATTGCAGTTATATATTTCTGTGTGGAACCTTTCTGTCAAACCTCAAAGGTATATGAAGCCGTGCGAGACCAATGCTTTATTGTGTAAGATATTGAATGCATGTATGGAAGAAACTAATAAGAGACGATGTGCATTGGTCACGTTACAGGAAAATGAAGAGTACGATTTGACCTTCCTAAAAGCTATGTTGTTGCTGTAGTGACAGACACAGACAAAACGCATAAATGCAATCCCAGCTTTTGGCTGTGAATCCCCCCTTTTGCTGTAATCCTTTATCCCTGCAAAGAAATCACAATGCTGTGTAGACATCTGTTTGTAAAGTGCATTATGTATGGCCAGTAGACACGGCAAACTGCCACATCTGTCACTGTTAGTGAGCAAGCTTGATAAGAGAAACGGTAGGATACAGCAATTTAGAAAATCCTCTAATTAGTATTTACTTTCAGTACTTTAACACAAGACACATTAACAGTTTCTGTTTGCATTGCAAATGAAGGGCCCTCCAGGTTGTCTGGTTTAACATGAGTTTGTCTAAGACACAAAAAGCGAACCTGAGCGAACCCGAGGAAGCTGCAAGCACAACGCGCTGTTCACTCTTAAATAAATCACAGCAAAGTCAATCCAGTGTGCGGTGGTTAATTGATGGACTGATTTATATATTTTTTTCTATATCCCCTGAATCAGGATGTAGAGCCTTGATTTTAAGGATTCACCAGGATTTGCCCACTGAAGTGAACATTCCCCCATGCTGCAATGCTGTAGTGTTAAGACGGACTATTAAACAGTAATGATGAGTATGGAGTTTGGATATTTGTGGCTACATAACTGGGGTGATCCGTTGTTACTGGGGTGTTGAAAAGACACATGCTGAGTGTGTAATTATCTCTGAGTCCTCCCTCCCTGATCACATTCACATCTCATCTATTTAAATCTCTCTCTGTAGTAGCTACTATATATTTAGCTCCCTCTCTTATAGTCTTATTTCTTTCTTTCTTGCATAATCATTCTAGCCTGGTCTGCTAATACTGTCAAACTCCCCATCTGGAACTGCACAGAGGCCTGTGGGATTTATTTTTGCTGATTTGTTTGGTTTTGTTTTAGGATTTCTTTACTTTTTTTTT